CATGCAACACGAGACTGAGTCCGACTTTGACTCCGAGTAGAAGCAAAGTCTCGGCCCGGCCCGGCAAGCCAAACTTCATTTGGAAACACATAATATTGTACACTTTATGGACAATTATTATATAAGTTTTATTAGCTAAGCGTCAGAAGTGGGCAGAGCCGGAGGCAGAATCTTAATTAATTTGTGATTTTCTGCCCCGGCCAGTGAGCTTGCAAGAGCCGGGCTTCCTAACTGCAATCTCCCGGAGGAAGAACAGGATTAAAGATGGAGTACTATCGTTGCTATATAGAGGAGTGTTTCCATCAAGAAAGCCAAATGGCATAAAAAGTAAACATCTTGGCATTACTTAGCAACTTCTGAAAGCCACATTAGCAGGACAACCCTCCCCCAACGGGCCGCAGTGCAGTTCTGACCCGCTTATTGACGGCAACAAGCCCGCGAAGGAAACCCAATAGGCACAAACAGGACACAGGCTGACTTTGAAACATTTGGCGACATTAATATGATTTAATGCGTTAATTAGCGCCCGGCAGCCCAGCTCTGGGTGAGGGTGCGAAACCAGCTACGCCACGGCATCTGACGCAAGGCTTCGCTCCGCTTATGGCTTATAGCGGGTTGGTATAGCATACTTCTTCGCGAGAAGCTGCTCCGCTTTCAGGAATTCCCCAAATCCCCGAAGCGGATTAGTAGAGGCACGGCGGGAAAAGCTGGTGTCTGACTGGTGGGATGCGGGGGAGGAGGCCTGCGCCCCCGTGTGCATTGCGTAATTGACGTCAATTTTGTTTTCGCACCGCGCATACCAAAAATAAGAGCAACAGCCCACAAGGAGAATAACAACCTTGAGGGTTTCGAGTGGGTGACTTCCTCCCTGTCCCAGTCCCGGGCCCACTTCCCGGGAAATTCAATACCCGGGCCGGGAGAAAATAATTTGCCAAAATATAGAAATTGTGTCGCCGTGCAGAAATATGCAAGGAGGAGAGGAGAGATATTGAAATCTCGAGCCGGGGCCCAATAAACAGGAGCTACGACAATGCCGACATTCCCGGCGCAAGGGTGGTGGCATCATATTTCATTTATTAGCAGCGCGAGCGTGGCAAGCATTTTTATTTATGCCCCATAATGCCGGGCATATGTGGCCCAAATGGGAATTGCCTGGCTGCCGGGATAAGCCAACTCGAGGCACTCCTCAGGCTCGGCCTGGGAAATGTGAAGAGGGCTGAGTGCCTGGCGAGGAAAGTAGCTTAGAGATTTATGCAGCATTTGTTCATCGAAATGCTCTGTTCCCGAAACTTTTTTGTTAATTAAATGGAAGAGTCTATTTGAAAATATAGAACTTTAAAAACTGTTTTTTGAAAAACTCAAAAAAATAAGCCAAGGAAGAAAAAAAGGAGGCATAGGCCTCCCCGGCACGTGCGCTATTAAATATGCAATAAATTATTTTTGCTAGTTTCTGACCGCCCCAGTGCGGAATTTGCTAAGCTGCCTGCAAATTATAGAAAATCCCCAAAGACGCCGAGATGTGTGCGGGGATAAGGAAAAAGCCAATGTAAGCAATAAGCAGGAACACCATTATCTAATGCTCGGCGCGCCATTCAGGCATAAAGGCTGGAAAGGCCCCCACCTTCCGATTTCGGATTACGGACTACGGATTTCCTCGTGGAAAACTTCTCGTGGGGCCCGCAATAATAGTGCGCAGGAAATAAAGCACAAAAAGGCAATAAAAATGGCCCGGCTCCCCCAAAAACAACTTCAGACTATTTTGTAGATGTTGGCCGCACAGCTTCCGGCCCAATAGAAATGCCAGCACAACAAAGCCCGGAGAGCCACCCTTCCAAAAGCGCCCAAAAACTGAGCCTAATGGCCAAGACAAGCACACAGACATCTAGGACGAAGACGTCGCCAGCAGCGGCCTTAAGTGCAAGTGATTTATGTCCCCGTGGATCCGTGGATGTGGGCGAATGTCCGTGGAGTGAGTTCGTTTCGGTCCAGGACAAAAATTAGCCAGCAAAACAGACAGAAATAAAAGAGCCAAATCGCAATTGTGGGCCAAGAAAGTTTGATGCAGCTTGATGGAACATTATCCTTCAGAAGAAGTAACCCTTCCGCAACCCCAAACCAAATTCAATTAGCAGCGGTCAGTGGCTGCCCTTTTGATATTTGAATCATAGGAACTAGACGCCCTTCAAGCGGGATTCGATTACCGTTTACAAGTGGTCAATACGGGCTAAGCGGGCTTAAGGGTACTCCTCCTTTGGTAGCACCCTGTGGTCAGTTGCGTGTTGGTAATTGAAAAGCACTCAATGGGGTCACCCCGGAGCAGATAGGATCAACTGCTGGCTAATCGAGTTTAAAACAAGCGTAAATTGTCCTGGCCTTTCCTTTTGATATTCGAGCGCACTTCAGTGACATTATTTTGCGGTGCAAGTGCAGCGGGTAATTAATGGTAATTGTTCCGAGCTGAGCTGCCCACATAGGGCTTCCCGCTTTGCTCAGGTGGGGCGATACAACAACGTGTCTCGTCGCCTGCATTTGCCTAATGACACAAATGTAAGCCCCTCTTGCCCCACAGTCCAGCAGCGGACTGTGTATAATTTCCTTGGCCTTTTTCGCTAAGCTCTTAAACCGATTTTCAGCTTACTTGAATGGTTCCGAGATAGAGGAGCGCAGTGCAAATATTTCGCAAAAAATTAAAAAATAAAATAAAAACGAAACCGAAGCGGTGTTCGCTGGAAAAAATGCCTGAGGTCGAGACAAAGAGTTTGTATTTTTTGTTGTCATTTTACGGCATAAATTTCCATTGAATTGAATCTTTCGGGCCAAGAAAAAGGCTTGACACAATCAGGTAGAGTATGGCCTCCTGGCGGCCCTTTGAAACAGTTAAGAGCCTTGCAAATTTCATTAAGATTTCAAAAATGTGTTAATGACTTCCTGGAATTGGATAAAAAGTTAGTATATAAAGGGTTAAATATTCTATAAGATCTGTGTACACTTATGACTAGAAATTAACATTGGCGACTTGGGTTTTCGGTTGGTTTTGTGTTCTTAATCGTATCGGATTCGACAACCGCCAGGCGGGATGTCTCTTCACGCGACCCGCAAGGTATCGCATTCAACGCTTTCGTGCAATTCCCCGGGGCTGGACAAATTCGGGGCTGATCAGGAATGTCTGCTCCCCAAGAGTCCCCAGAAAACTAACAAAAAACATAAAGGAGACTCTGAACATCAGATCAGCCGCAGACGAAATCTTGCGGCAACTGCATTGAAACATTAGCAGTGATGACATTTTTGCGGTCACCCCTTTTTTGGTGTAGGTACCCCCGAAACCGTCTGCAGATCGTCTGTGGGTTTGCTGTCTTCTGTCTACAAATTCCTGCCAACGCGACACTTCATACATAACAACAAGCGACAAGCCCGATCGCTGGGAAGAACTCGGACAAGGCTGCCTTGTGGATACTCTAATTTGGAGCTTACACGAGGGACATAATAGTCGTATTCACTTTATTACATTCATCATTCTCTTTATTTATCTCCATAAAGACCTAATAATCGGGCATTTTTTATAACCAACTCTGAGGGTATTCGTAACTCCTCCTCGAGAAAAGATCAATCTTTTCGGGCAGCATTTGTAGGGCTTTGTTGACCTGTTGCTTTATTAATTGTACCCTTGGACTTGGCCAGGCCCGTCTCAGTCTCCGTCTCCGTCTTTGTTTCACAAATGAATGCACAAATTTCGGGACAAGTCTGCGGTTTGTTTGTGCCACAAGACGCAGACAGTATGACGACGCCGAAAGTCACAAGCCCGAAGAACAAACAAAAAAGCACATAAAGGTAAATTATAAGAAAGAAATCCTTATGGCTAACTCGTGTGTTGGCCCAAAAGCAGCTTGAGGTGAGAGTGCGGCTAATGAGCCGGAGGAGCCCGAGACGAGGCCTCTGGGATCCTTTTTATCTCATTTTGTTGGGCTGGTCTTCGATTTCAGAACCAGTTCGAGACCCGAAAGAGTTCGCCCTGCAAGAAGTGGATTGACTTAATGCCTATAAAATTATAGGTTTCTCCCTCCGGGGCTGCCTGGAAAATTGTGTGTGTTTGGGGCGTTGCTCGAGAAATTAATACAAAATCCAGCCAGCACGAAAGGGCATTTTCTTCCCTGAGCGGGGAAAATGCCTTCCAAATTGGTTCGACTTTGAAGAGCTCGGAAACACGCCCCGAGCAATCACGCAAAATGCCAAATTACTTGTAGCCACCATTAGGCGAACGAATCGTCTAACACGCACCCAAAAACCGAAAAAAAAAACGTAAAAATAAACAGACCCATTTAAGGTGGGTTTTCCCCCACCGATTCCCCTCGGCTGCCCGCTGTCCGGAGGATCGGGTGAACCCGTTCTCAAGTTTCAGATCTCAGAAGCACTTATCCTGTGTGATCCTTGCGCCTCTCAGACACCCGAGCGGTGGCAGCACCCCCATTCTGGCCTAAATCAGGATCAGGGCTCGTGTTCGAACCCTCCCCGTTCTGCAAAGTAAGCGGCTTACACGTGCCGCTGGTTTTCGCCCTTCGACTGGGTAATACGAGTCGAGTTCCTATCAGTTTACACCCGCTGCTAATGGAGAAGGGTCCAGTTGGCAGGTTCTTACAGAATTCAGAATTTGGTCAGTACTTTATGCTGAGTTATGGTATAGTCCTATGATACGTTGAAAGTCACAAAGGTTATCAAATGTTTTCACTCCTTAAATAAAGTATAAGAAAATCGAGTTCATTCCCAGCTAGGAACACGAATATCCTCGAGATATTTCAAGGAAATCAAGAAACCATCTTAATCGTCATGAAATCCCCTAGATACACGGTTCCCAGCCAGTAAGGAACTTGGTCCGAACGCGGCTGAAATGTTAAGATAGTTCCGCAGATCCGCAGTAGCCTCCATTTCCAGGTCGTCCTTGTTGGGGTCCTTCTCGGCGCTCGTCCTTGCTTATCAACTAACAAGTCAATGAAACATCACTTTAATTTGTTTTATACTTTTCAAATATATTTTGGTTTTTTTTGTCGTTTTTGTTTGTTGTTTGTTTCATATATTTATTGGCTAACTCTTTAAACGTTACTCTGTAGTTTTGTTTTACTTAATCCATCTGGGTTTTGTTTTCCTTGTTTTAATTATATTATTAGTATACATATAAATAATTAAAAATATTACATTAAAATGTATTCGTATATCGTATAGAAGTTGTTGGTTGGTTTCATGTTGGATTTATATTTTAGTTTGCTTTTCTCTTAATTTTTGATTGCGTTTCTCTCCTCATTATCTCTCTTATAACATTTAGTTCATTTTACAATTTTGCTAAAAACTAAATAAAATTTGTATTTGTAAAAAACAATAATAATAATAATAATTGTAGAAAGGTATGCTCAAATTATTGTGATAATTAGTTTATGTTCTCAATTCTTTATACAAGAATATGTATATTTTAAAAATAGCAAAAAGCAAAAAAGCGCCTTCCGTTGATTTTAAAACATAATTACGTATATATATTCTGCATCATTTCTAAAGTTATTCTTGCTCACTATTATTATTTTACTTGTGTTATATTTTTATAAAATATCACCTAAAGCAATTACGTATTTCAGTTTCAGTATTTGTGTGTTTCGTTTTTTTTTTTACAATGCAACAACAAAAGTTTGCTCTTCGTGATTTCGTAACCTTTTTGGCAGCAAAACATTCAGTAAAAAATAAATGTTTCTAACGAAGTTTAAAAGCACATTAGCACATTAAATTATACAAAACAAGGACCTTTTCTCTCCCGTTTGTGCAACAATGTTTCAATTATTAACTAAAGTTCAGCGAAATATGCCAACAAAAAATTATCAGATAATTACAGCGGTTTTTTTTTATACTTTTTCTTTTTCATTATTTTTTTTTGTCGAGTTTAATTTTAGTTCTTACATGCAAGATTTATTTTTTGAGACAAAGTACAACAACTAGGTTAATTTTTTGTTTGCAAATTTCCTTTAGTTTTGCAAGAAAGTTTAGGTTGAAAAAATAGTACAAAAGCTTTCACGTTGTTGTCGTTTAGTTAGGTAGCTATATGTATAAGCCGTGGGAATCGGCCCGACTATGGTCTAGGTATACAAATGACTGCCCATATAGCTGAACTACTGCTCGCAGCTCGAGTTAAGTACATTTTTGTATTTTGCGTTTATTTTGTTTGTTTAGTAATGGTCTACAACTCAAAATGGTAGTAGAAACAAGCAGTAGGAGTTTCCTCGGCAGAAGAATTCTTCGCACACCCGAAACCCTCTGACTGCGTCTGCTAAGTTGGAGTCTGGACCTGACTAAGAACTATATAACGTACGCTATAGTATACAATGGGGAAGGAGTCCCAGGCGAGGGTCCTAGGATCTCCTTTTTGAATTGCACGAAGCTTCCACCGCTCGTACTTGTTTAATAATAGTAGTATCGCGTAGTTATTCTCGATTTCTTTAGTAAATGCTTAAAGTTTTTAGTTTAAGTTGTTGCTTTACGTATATCAATGTTCTCGGCTCATTTAAAATGTCGTTCGTATAGGCGCGTGGCAATCCTCAATTAATTAAATTAACCTTAATTTTTTTTTCGATTTTCTATATTTTTTTTTTGTTAATAAACAATAAAGTTTTATTCGTATACTTTGCATTTGAACTCAGGTTTGGGTTTCTTTTCTGGTATCTCTTTTTACGTATATGCGTTGCATGAAGATGAGAGTCAAAAATAAAAAGGTTTTTGAAAACTTCAATGTTTAGCTTTCAATATTTTTTATTTTTAATTTTTTTCTTGTTATTTGGCAAGTTCTTTCCAGTGTTGTCGAACACGCGAAAGGATAAAGGACGTTTTGTTTTTTGAAAAATCGTATACAAGTTTTGCAAAAGTGAAAATTCCCAAAAACAAGGATAAAAATAATAAACTAAGCGAAGAAGTATGAATACAAGTTCTAGGAATTAACTATACTCTTAGCGTTTGTCCTCTCTCATCACTTAATGTGATTTAGTTTAAGCGCAGCCTAGACTGGATTTAGTTACAAACTACATGGCTAAGCGTTATGTCTATATAAGATAGGTTTTCTGCGTATATTGTGGGGACGGGGGACTAGAAGTCCGCCTCGTGCTTGATGCGATAGCTCGCATAGGTCTCCTCCAGCGGTGAAAAGTCTTGGGTGCTGGGCTGTGATCGATTTCCAAGTAATTGGCACACAGATTCAAACAAGAGTTTTTTTTTTTTTGAGGGATAGATAGAGATTTAGAAAATTGAAGGGTTTTATACAACATATTTCTTTGTGAGATGTCTGCTGTCTGCTGTCAGTGTCTGGCTGTTGTTCTTGCTGATTTTTGTGTGATTTTGTGGCTAGTTTTCGAGGGGACGGGGGTGTCGGGGGGTATCAAGTATTTACAAGTTTACAAACTCAATCGATAACCCGGGCTATCGATCCCGCTAACTGACCGACCGGCTGACTGGGCGCCCTGAGAAATCGGGCAAAAGGGTCAGCTCCCCTACTGGGCGGTATCATATCCGAAAAACATATATGTAACCTATGCGACTGTGTGGGTAATATATATATAGGTCTATATAGGGTTCCATATAGAGTTACGTGCATATATAAAAGGTTAAAATTGGTTAGTTGGGGGTTAGTAAACGTTCGTAATACAAGTCGTTACTTTAAACTTTGTATACTCTTTTGGGAGTGGGGGAAAATAATCAAAAATAGTTGGTTAATGGTGTGTGTGTGTGAGTTTGTTAATAATATTTAATAATATATTGGCGAGCTATATGGGCCTCTTGCAAAAACGAAGTTCTGGAACATTATTGATTCTTTTCGAGTTCAGTTCTCGATCTTTTAAGTTTAAGTTACGCTTTCTTTCTTTCTTGCATTTAATTTCTTTAGTTGTTGGTACTTTTTACAATTAGGCGAACTGTTTGTGGCTCTAATTATTGTTGCTCAGTTGCTTTGTTCATTTGTCAGTGTATCTTCTATCATTTACAATATGATTGAGATATAAACGGATGTTTGATGTATCGTGTTCTTCTTGAGAGTCGAAGTGAGATGGGCCGAGCCAGTGGGGCCCGGAGGAGGCAGGCCTCGTCCGCGCCTCCACTGGCCCGGCTTGGACTTAAATTTATGGCATTTACTGTACACAGAGGGGAGAGCAAAAAAATTTGGCCGCGGCGGCAACAGCAGTGGTATCTCGAGGATACCAGGATCGTATCTTGTATCTCGTCATCTGTCCGCTGTTCGTCCGGTTCGGCCGAAGCCCCTTGGAAGCTCGTTTGTCGGTAGTACGTCACTGTGGTCGGTCACAGGTTGGTGTCGCAGTCGCCTCGCCCTCGGAGGACTGGTAGCCGTGTCCTCTGTGTGCTGATCCTGGGGCGTGGCTGCTGCTGCTGCTGCTGCTCCCGGCTTTAAACTCCTCTGCTCTCCCTTAATCGCTTCAAAGTTCAGCGTTAGAATCATTTCAAGATCGGCGTTTAGACTTGCTCTCAGACTAATTTACAAGGTGTGTGTGTGTGTGTGTTTATTGTGTTTGTGGTTGGTTTGAGTGTTTCTTGTTCATAATGACGTACAACTTCTTCTGCGTTCGATTTCGGATTGGATTTGAATTCATCAATATTAATATTATGGTTTACTTTACTGTTTGCCTTGCACAAAGTGAAATTAATGTGACTTAATTTGCTTATGCAGCGCAGCAACGTCAGTTAGTTCTCTTTGCGTGTGTTATCGATTTCAGATCAGATCAGGTCGAGATACTGATTGATTATAATATTATTATTATTGATTCATTTAATCCCAGGGCATTGTGAGCACCCGCTTCGTTTTTGCAAGAAGGTCGTTATCGTACTACGAACATGGGTGCACCACCGCATTGTAGCTCGCCAATATAGGACCATGTGCTCCCGCGAAGGGGGTACTCACAACGTCTGGTGTACTAGCTCCATCGGTGTGCGACGTGGAATCGGCATTGCTCCGGCCCTCCCCGTTCGCCGAACCCAACTCCGGTGGTTTGGTGGTGTCCCGTTCGTCGATCACTAAATCTATTGGCATTTTACCCTTTAAACACGATATATACCGATGACAGAAGTTATCGCATAATTCGTGTACCTGCAACGAGACAACCCCGCGGATCAGGCAAGTAGGTTGGTTGGAGAGAAGAGAGAGAGAAGAGATGATCAGTTTGAGTTGTCTAGGATGCCGCGGATGACCTCCGCGGTTTTTTTATATCTTATTTTAATCTGGGAGGGGGTGGTGCTGATTGGGAGGAGTGGACTACTTCTACGGGGTCGCAGGGGCATGGGGGGGGTTTAGTCTCCGATAATTTACAGACTAAGGGGATCTTAGGACTAACTTTTATTTTGCATTCACTTATCAGCTAGAAGCCAAGCTCAAACATTGCCGTTCGCGCACATCGTAGCGCCATCGCGTTCTTGCCACAAAACCTGATCTGCCCCGAGATCTCCCCCCGCAGACCCCCGCCTGAAAATGGCATGCAAATTGCTTTTGATGCGCTGCCCCAGACCTTAAGACCGTGGCTCCAAGCCGAAAACTGCCGGCCCAGAGACATGGCCGATGATGGCACTCAAAAATGGCGTAAACCCCGAGCCGGGCCACATAAATATGCAAGAGGGCCTCGTAGTAATGCACTGTTGTGGCCCAAAAGGAAGTCTGCTTAGCCCCGGGGCACACTTTCAGCCGGGCCAGTCGGGCCACAACATGCAGCACGTGCAACACTCGCATTAGCCCAGCACATGAGGAGACGCATCCCGGGAAGATTGCTGGCGTCAGCAGGAACAGACTGCGTTCAGGCCCTCCTCAGGTATGGGTCTGGGCCCTGTCCCAGTATGTGTGTGTGTGTTTGTGATAAAACAAATGCGATAAGGCCCAGCGAGTGTGAGTCAGGCATATATGCAAATATGCAGCAACAAAGAAAGGAATGCAGCCGCCGCCGCAGCTAAAGAGAAATTAATTGCATTGGGCCAGCAGCAGCAGCAGCAGTGGCAGCAACACCAGCAACAACTGCTGCCACCACAGGGTGCTCCATTTAACCGGGACCCAGGCATTTAATTTACGAAAAAGTGCGCGTTGGTTATGCAAATTGTTTGTTGTTGCTGACGTGCTGCAGTGTTGCTGCCTTTGCTGCCTGCGAAAGCTGCAACCTGGCCGGCTATTAACTTGTTGCCCATTGCCCAAACTTGTCAAACTCGTTTGCAGGCTGGCTCTCAATGTTATTGTCACCAAAAATACGCCAAGGCAGAAAACAAAAACCAAAATCGATGATTAAAAAAAGGCTGCAACTGGTTTATGACAGGACAATGTCAAATTTGTCGTCGCCGATGATAAGAGCGGGCCAGCTACAGAAAACGGAGCAATAGCATCCGAGGAGTATCAGTGTTTATGATTGCCTTTGTAGCTGTCAAAGCGACCATAACAATATCCATAAAGCTTACAATTAGCACGCCAGCAACATGTTGCACAAACCAAATTGATATGTTTATGTTGCTACTGCTGCTGCTTCTGCGGCTGCTTCTGCTGTTGGCCCTTCAGAGACTCGCCTCGGACTCGGACTTCGATGCCGGCTGCCTGATAACTTTTTGATTAATTTGTCAGCATTGTATGTGACATTTCGGAGCGATATTTATGACTGGCCGTCGGCCAGAGGCCCCCATGTTGCTGTTGCACATTGCCATTGCTGCAGAGTGGCTCATTGGGTGGGCCCCCGAGCTGCAAGGGCGACAGGCGGACGTGGATCTGCAGCAGGAACCGGAGGGCGTTGCTTGTAAATGCTGCCACTCATTTGTACATCCTGTTAAGAAAACTTTTCACAGCAGCCCCTGGTAGCCTCCTCTCCCCATTCTAATCTCGATGTAAATCGCTCCAATCTGCGCCGCGGTAATTCTCGATTTCCGCTTTTAGATACAGATACCCCGGACAAGGTCTAAGTAGCTTGCGTGTCTGCTTCACTCGGCCAGTTTGCTAATCTCGGTCTGACATTTAAATGTTTTGTAATTAAAACTGATAGAATGTGTGGCGATCGATTGAGCCAGGAATGTGCTATATCCTATCCTACTGCTAATAGTCTCTACTAAAATCTCTTGATCGGTTTTTGACGTCCCTCAGCTTGCATCATCGAAAGCCAAAAGTGTACAGCTGTCGATGGCGATGATGTTGCTGTTCCAATTGCTGTGTTGCTGTTGCTGTTGCCGGTGCGAGATCCCTCAGCGATCTTGGCCAAGCCATCAAAACAAGGCCCCCAAATCGGCCGTTGGCTGCTGGCTGTTGGCCTGGCTAATGTTGTTTCGTTGCCTGCCCCCATGCCGGCATTTACCCAGCCGATTCTCCGATCCGATCCGATTCTCCAGTACCCTGGCGGAATACCGGAGATACCCCCTGCCGGCGGAGAAGCGTGTGCAACTGACCCGACGTGTTCTGTCTGTTTGTCCCACTGTTGGTTCGATCGGTCCCACCGTTCCACCACCACTCCGTCCTCTCGGTCCTCCGTCGCTTTGTCAATTGCAATGCCTTCTGCTTGATTTTTTTGCTCCCCTCGGAGTGTTTTTTTATTTTTTCCATTTGTATTTTGTTGTATTTTTTGCATGTGACTCTGACGAGAATTGTCCGTTTGCTGGGGAGCTGTTGAGCTTGGGAGCCAGAGACGGAGACGGAGACGGAGCTTGGAGCTTGGAGCTACGAGACTGGGAAACCAGTTTTGACAGACACAAGTCTTGAAAACGTCTTTTTAACTGATTCTGTTCACTGTTCACAGCCACAGCCACATACAGATGTTGTTTTTTTCTCTCCAGCCCGCACATTTCATTTAAGTATATTTTGTGTTTCTTTCCTGCCAGCCTGCCTGCCCGCCTGCCTACCCGCCTGGCTGCTATAGTTTTTGTTCTTTGCATTTATATTTATTTTATACGCCAAAAATCGACCGCTGCATTTTGTTGGCTGCATATAAATGAATGGGTTTTTTATGCTTTATTTTAGTTTCGATTTTTTGTTCGCTTCATTTTTTCATGGTTTTGCGCTTTTTTGTACAAGTTGCTACAGTTCTTTGTTGGTTTCGTGTGTGTCGCAAGCTGTGTGAGTGACAAATGACAAAACAAAAACCTGTCGTGGTCTGCTGTGATGTTGATAAAGATCTTGAATGTTGTGTATATGTCTCTTTGGTCTTTTTTTGCTGGCTTTCTACAGCAGCAGCAGCAGCAGCACCCTGCAGCCCGTGCAACAAATTGCAGCTGTCTGACAGACTAACTGACTAACTGACTGACTGACTAACTTGGCTTACTGCACTAGTTTTGTTTGTTTAGAAAGCGATGAATGCCGTGGGTAATTAACATTGTCCATCGCACTAATTGCACATTGATTGACTCTCTTTTTCGTTCGATCCCCCGATCTCCAATCCCCGATCGCTGATCACTGTCATTAGCCTATATCTCCCTAGATCGAGGAGGAGATTTCCCCACTCACTCCGCATTCCACGGCAAATGACTTCGACTTGGACTCCGACACTCCACTCCTCCGATATATTCCCTGAGCGCTTTATCTTGTTGGCCTGCCTGTTTCTTTTTGTTTCGGTTCGAGAATGTTTTGCATAATTTCTTACTTAAGACTTAATTGAAAAAAGAGTGAAGAACGCGCAACTTTTGGACGGGTTCGACTTCGACTCTGGCTATGGCTATGGCTTTGACTGTCCGGCTTTGGCTCTCATCCCGACTTCAGTTTCGGTTTCGGTTTAGCTTCGCTCCACGCTTCGTTGCGCATTTGCCTAATTAATTTTCTCGACACAGCAGCACCACCAACAAAATACACAGAGAAAAAAACACATCACATCATCCGGCTAAGGAAGGGGGAGGTGGTGCAGGGTAGTCGGCATTAATTACGACCGCGTTTGAGGAACAACTTCCATTAAGAGGGAGACACGCACCCGAGCCGCTGCATATTATTTGAAATTAAAACAAATTAGGCAACCTGTAATTTTTCCATTTAGACAATAAAGTGTCTAATAATCAAGTAGGTGTAAGGTCCCTGGTCACCCCTCAGCGCGAACCTCCCCCGGCATTAGGCGGGAAATTTAATTTATGTCGGCCTGCTGCTCTTATCGCTGCCGGAAAATCTGGGAACTCTGCTCGGGAGAGTGGAGGTGGAGCTCCGCAGTCATCACACCTCATGTATCAACAACAAAAGGCAGCCGAAAACTGCCGGCAAGAATGCACTCCATTGTTCCCGGGAATGTATTACTTTCCTGGGTTATCTTACGCACGAAAGTGTAACCACCTGCTGGCCAAATATTTGAGCCCGAAGCCCACATCCTGCCCCTACAACTATTCCCCTCCGATCGGCAATTAATTCTGTTTTCAGCTGCGGCTTGCTTTAGTTTTAATTTAGACATTTTGCAAGTGTATTAGACAAGCCTAGATATATGGTCGCCTGCTGTGGGACGACACGCCCCTTCCCCTCCAGCCCCTCTGGAACATGGCTCAATAAAATGTCAACACAAATGTTGGTAATTGAAATGCGCGCCCGTTGGCAACAACTATTGCCGGTTTTTTGGCGGGCTGGCTTATTTATGGGCCAGGCTGTTGGGAGACTGTGTCTCGGGTCCTGGTCGGGCTTTGGGTGGTCTTTTTCGGGACCGTGATAAATGACTTGGCCAGGACGCTGGCCAGTTGGCTTTTCGGTTAATTGCAATGACTAAACAAATGCTGCGCTCCCCTCGATGATGTGGCATAAACGCGTGACAATATTCGAGCTTGGGATACTTTAATGCTAATACTACTAGAAAGATTTCCTGGAAGGTGGCACTTACTTTTTCTAACTCTAAAAGGTGAAACCGAAGTACTTGTATTGCTTGCACCATCTGGAAAGAGAAGAACAGAATTTAAAGTTAGTGGCAAATTGGAAAAGATAATTCACAAAATTAGTAGACTTTCACACTCTTTTAATTCCATCCAAGAGCGCTAATTAAAACATCAGCTTGACATTTGACATTTTTACGATGCTGCTAACTGCTGCTGTGTGGCCTGTTTGGTTTTGGTTATTGTGCTGCCATTACCGCCAGGAGGAATTCCATTTTAACCCAAGACATGCCATAAACATTTTTATAGCGAGCGACCTCAGCCACTGGCGTGGTTCAGTCTGGAGTTGGGGCTGGGGCTTTCGTTTCTCCTCCTTTAAGTGAGTGTTACTAAATGCACTTTTAAATGTTCAAACACGATAGCGGATAAAGGGGAGTGGCGACCACAGAGTGGCATGCCACCAAAATGATTTATGGCCAAAGTACGCAGACGCAAGAGCGTTCCGAGAGATACGACTACGACTACGACGACGACGACGGCCATGGCCATGCCGATCTAAGATCTACGAGGGCACTGCCAGGCGGTGGCTGGGACGGGGGTAGGGGCCAGTCAGTGATTTTGTACTACAACTAATAAACTAATCTGCAAGTGCATAAAATTAGGGCCACCAGAGGCACCACCACCACCACCACCAGCTCGAGTGAGTGGGTAAGTGAGTGACACATTTACGACTGCCGGCAATTAAAATTAGTTTTGCCCATAATCTCTTTATACTCCGCCAGACGTAGCTCGTCCTCTGGCTGCCACTGCCACTGCGGATATATACACATTTTTTTAGCCAACTCGGCCTGGCCGACTACCCAATTGCACGGCTCGTTTTGCACTTTTTTTTTCCTCCCTTTGGACGAGGCATTTCCGTCTTGATTTACATTCTGTTGGATGTTCGGATACTGAAGACTGGATGTTGGATGCTGGAGTCTGTCTGCCGAAATGATCTCTTTTTGGCCTCCATTCGCATCCCTTCGTTAGCCCTGACTCATGGCCATAAAAATGTTATGACTCGCCTGGCCGAAGATTAAAAATATAGGGAGTTTCCAACCGGAATTGAACTCATTCCCTACGCATCTGAACTTAATGTGTTCTCTAATAATCCCCAAACAGTACAGTCCTGTATTGTCTAGCCCCCCCCTTTCTGATGATCATGATCATGATCTCCAAAGGAACTTGCCTTGGACTGGATGCCCCTCTCCCTCCTCCAAGCTGGCCCATTGTTGTTTTCTTTATTTTCTGCTGCACAGCACAACCAAGGCTGCCAGTGAGCCCATTTAGAGAGTGCAAAAATGTCATATGCATCATTAAAGCGTTCTGCTTCATATTGTCGTTCGGTTGGGTTCGCTCGCCGCCACTACCCCCCCTTTCCCCCTTTTGGGGGGGGGGCATGCAAAAATCAAGAGCGAAAAGTATGGCAACGCTGTCCAATAAAGTGACTAAACAAGTCAGTCCGCGGTGGCGATGCGAGGCACAAATGCTCATAAATTGTGTTCGTTGCTGTGGCTTTTGCTAAATTCTCTGTGATTTATTCTAAATAAAAGAAAATTATTCAATTGCCGTCGACGTTTTGGACAAACAGCCGTGATCTTTGGCTTTGTCAACTGGCTGCCAAGGAAGCTTTCGGTTAGCAGTCTTGGATGGGATTTACTTTGTTGTGGCTACTGGGACTGATGATGGGACTACTTACCAGTGAGTCGACTTCGGGATCTGCGGTATAGTAGGGTTTCTGTGATCTTATCTGCAAAGAAAGAGGATACAAGAGGTGGTTAGTGAGAAAGTCAGACCATTGCTGAAAAAGCACGCTTTCCTTGTGCATCTGCCCTGCCGTTGAACGAAAAAAAAATAAACAAACTCTTTGGTTTTTTTTGCTATTTTATGATGCCTGGCAGCCGATAAGCCCCTGCCAAAACCAAAATATTGTACACATTATAAAACTACAGCCATAAGCAACCATAAGCAAATCGGTTCCACGGCGAGCTTGGGAAACGCAACATTTGTGCTCATCAACGGACCCAGACCCAGACCCAAAACCAAACCAATCCCAAAGCCAGACCCAGACCCCGGACCCACAGCCGAAGAGGTGACGATGCGACTCGCTGTGACCATAAAAAGAGATTCTCGCTTTTATGGCAGCAACCCAACAACAACAACAACAACAACAACAAAGCCCCAGCACATAGATATCAAAATAAACCACACACTTAGATAAAGATCACAAAGGCAATATCTGGCTAGATAAAATGCCACACAGACCGAGAAGGTCATCAAATGCTGTGCGAATTATTCGAAGTCTGTGTCTCACGGAACTCCGATCCGAGCTCGGGTCGGGTCTTTGGTCTTCTGGCTTTAGTTTCGAATCTGCAGATGGATGGAAACACACACCCGCAGCGATGTCTTATTATATAAGAGTGACCTGACCTTGCGAGTGTGTTTCGGGCTTGTGTGTGGATGTCTGACCACCCAGCAACGTGCAACAAGGTTGCAGTGCAGCGGGAGGTCCATGGATGGATTATACCTGGTCTGGGGATGAAAGACATGGCCCTGGAAGATCTGCGCATACTGTGTTTATTACCGAGAGGGCTCTAAGACTGCCCAATATTCGCAGTGCCCCACTGATCCCCTAGGAATGCCGATCCGCAGAGCCAGTAACGGCAATTGGAAGTCAACCGAGGCATGTGCAGCTAATAATTACACACTTTGCACTCGCCGGACGGCTGGAAGACTCGTATCTGGACATGTGGGCACTCGGCACACACACACACCAGTCTGGAGCACAATGGTCGAATGAGAAAAACGCCCCATTGTGAGGCAGCCACAACTACAAAGCTCGGCCATTGAAGATCGGAGGGCTCGGGCTCGGGCTCGGGCTGCGGGCGGTTGCGTGTTGGGTATTTTGCAAAAGTTGTTGCCAGTTGGCTTTTATGTTGCATTTTCAAATGCTGGTTGGTCGTCGCTGGTGTTGCACACTCACAGACACACTCACGCACACCGGCGCGAATAAAATGGGAACTCGCCAAACTGGTTTCGCTATGCAGGCCCGCTGGAACCGCGCTTTAGGCCCGGGCCCGATATGAAGTCGGCCAGAAGTGGCTTATTGCACGCACTTGGCCGGGGGTACAAAAATGGCTGTCCCGAACCGGAGATGGGAGATCGGACAGCGGTCTAAGAGCGGTCTTCCCCAAGAAAGTGGGTCTCCCAATCCTAATTGAAGTTCCCTGCCGAAAGATGCATAGCCGGGGGATGGGGGGAATGATTTTAAAAATATATAAATCATGTGGGCAACTACTAAAATGCACAGCATGAGACAAGTCTATAAATACAAAATGTTCTTTAGTTGGGGCGTGAAAATGGAAACGAAAACGAAATGGAAATGGAAATGGGAATGGGACTGGGAATGGGACTTTTCCTCCTGCATTGCGTGGGCGTCTGCAGCTGACAATTTCATATTTATAGTCAAACATACTCATGACTGTATCTGTATCTGTATCTGTATCTGTATCTGTATATAGTATATATTTTGATTTTGGAAATCTAGTGTGCGGAAATCGTCACGCGCCCCGTCGGAACCTGAGAACCGCCGAGCCGCAATTCGTAATCAGTCTCACCTGAGAACCTCATAAATTTCTATTTCTGGGCCGTTGTGTTTGCGTTCCGGGGGCTGTTGTTTGATTTTTTTGCGACAGCCAGTGACGATAGACGAAAAGAAATCACTACTGTTTAGATACTGTTCTTCGGAGAGCCTTTTTTACGATGCCCATAAATGCAATTATACAACCGGGCAGGGCAGGGTTTACAATGTCGCGTCTCCAAATCACCCCAAAGATACCCCAAAGAAAATCAACACCAGAAACCTCAATGGAAAATAAAACAAAAATCGAAACTCACTGGCGTAGGCGGCCATAAATTTAGTCCACCTTGCGATTGTGGGGGGAATTTTGAAATCAGTTCCATTTCATCAACCACGTGCTATCATCCCCGTCATAAAACAGCACACACACACACCATAAACCCGATGGTGGAAAGTGGACAAATTATGATTCAATCAAGGAAATTTCTCAGACAATTATCGAAATAAGAGACGCAGACAGGCGGCCAGTCCACAAAATCTGGGACTTGGTTCATAAAAGACGGAATTATTTCACTCAGAGAACGCGCCCTAGAGCTGGTCTATATTTTTTACAATGCCAATACACGGTTAGGAATGATTTTATGGCCAGGTCGCGAGAGGCTATAAAATCATTCCGAGCCGGGGCGCGAGGAGATAGCCCCGAGAACTGGGACTGAGTGTGGGACTAGGCGGGCGGGCGGATAGGGCACTTGAGTAATGTGGCCATAAAGCCCCAGTCAGCAGGCTAGAACTCCGGTCTGGGCCATAAAGCGATTTATGCACCACAGCAGTACCAGTACCAGTACCAGCACCAGCGACTTTTGGAATCAGCGCGAAACAGTAGCAGCTTTTCGAGTCGCTGCCGTCAAACGTCGATCGCCGTTGAGCCTCAACCACTTGAGAAAAGAGTGCAGTGATAACAGTGATAACGCCGCCACCGCGAAAAACATCAACAAGAAAGGGGGCGGGGAGCAGATTCGCGCTCCGGTGGGAAATTCGGGGGGGAGGAGATAGTCCGGTATTCGGTACAATCTGGGTACTAGTTGGGACTGACTTCTGGCCAGAATTCAGCGGGGGATTTGAAAAGCGAGGCGCCTAAATTGCCGCACGTAGCCACATTACATTATTTTCATTTCCATGTTGCGTGCCACGGCGCCAGCCTCATGCGGGCTTCCACCTCCCTCCCGGGTCTAATATTATAAACAAACAGAGAGCGGTGTGTATTTTGGGAAAGAGATGTCGAGCAGCGTTATCAAGATTTGTGGAGATTGGAGGAGAGTGTCTACTCCAGCTACAAAGTGGTGACCGCAGTGCTACAAGGAAGACAAAGCCGCTGCTCATCCACTGCGAAATTGCACTTACCTCAAGCCCCAGCGACTGGCAGAAACCAAGCTCCGAGTCGAGACAGCACCATATCGGGTTTCTCACACCTACACAATGGCTGGAACCACGCTTAGGTGCCTAAAAGCCAGGGACCTGCGGCAGGAGGGGCAGAAGACCCCATGATGGCTCCCTCCCCCAAACTATCTCGCGTAACCCACTTATGGAAATAACAATAATTTCGTTGTAATACAAAACCGAAATCCAGCGGGAAAGAGCGCTTTATTTGCTTAGCCGATGACGATGACGATGATGATGGTATGTTGGCTGTTGGCTGTTGGTTGTTGGTGGAGCTTGTTTAATGTTGTTGATTACTTTATACAAACACAAACAGAAACAGAACAAAACTACCACTACTACTAGTACTACGGAGGGGCAAAACCAAAGCAAGTGCGTTGTCATTGTTGTTGCTGTTCCTGCTTTTATCTATATCTTTATAATGGGCGCACAATATCGGTAGTAAAACAGCCGCAATTGAGGTGACACAGCCAGGGAGTAGGAACAAAACAAAGCCAGGGACTAGCCCGGGGACCGGCGACCCCCGCCGACAGAGTCTGTTTATAGCCCCACCACCACGGCCCGAGAGAGGAGACTCCACTCCACATACTATACCCTCTGATGTTTCAGTTTATGACCCGGAGGCAAACCCTGTAGTACGCAGTTGTGGCAGCTACCGCTCACCTTAGAAGAGCTCGAGAGACAGGGTCAATATTTGCACTGCCGAGAGATGTCTCCTGGTACCTGAACCGAAACCAAAACACAGATAGTTGTAATGTAGCCATTCAAACATCCGGTGTTTGACGAACAATCCTGCTATCAGTTCTTGATACTGCCAGGCAGGCTGTGGGCCAAGATCTTCTCCGCCTGTCAATCGCGACACAATTTGTCATTTCAGAGGCGCTCGGCTGTGCTTTGGCTTTTAATTGAGAGCGTTTAGCAGACATCTCGTCTCGGGAGCCGGTGCCCATAAATCATTTCGGGGGGGCGAGCTGAATTTTCCCCATAAGTAACGCCACATAAATAAGACGGCGGAGAGAGCAGATGCAGATGCGAGTGCCAGTGCCTTCATTCTCAGCCAGAATCGGAATACGGCGGAGAATCTCCATGGGCCATCTATCGTTTGTGGCTCAATTGATGGGCTAGCCTAATGGGTTAACGACGGACTGCATCCAGCAGATACACACCACCCTCCTATGTGTGTATAGAGCTGTTAAAAAGGGTCAAACTACTGAACAAATATTGGGAGTCAGCAGCCCGAAAAACGAACTCTGCCATAATCCAAACACAAACTGGGAAGCAGATAGAGCGCGAGCGGACTGGAACCGAGACGATACCGAGACTGAGATACATTTGCTGCAGGCAGTTAACTAAATAATCACATTTAAAGGCGCCAAGTGGTTCCATAAACAAATATTTGATGGAATTTGGAACGCATCTCGTCTGCCAGCAGCTAATGGATTCGGATCTCCGCATGCAACTGTTGATGGTATGATTCCAGTGCTTCCCGTCTCCGAGTGCCAAATGAGATCACGCTGGGCAATTGCAGCTATCGATGGCAAGCTGTCCAGGAGCGATCCAACCCCCTGCCTTGGAGGCTCCTTTGGAAACAGTTGCGCCGCGCTGCTCATTTCGCAGGCTGGCATAGTCGAGAGGAGTGAATAAAAAACATAGCAGAGCGAAAGCCTTTGTTCTACCCAAGAAATTCAAAACCCGCTAAGGGTTGTGATCGCACAACAACCTAAAACCCGAAGACTGAAGACCGAAAACCGAAAAAAAGAACAATGCCCCAGCGAGATTAAAAAGGTACCAAGACCAAAACCAAATTCCAAATAAAAAGGTAAAGGTTTCTGTATTTTTTATCATTAAAAGAACAAAACAGCCAGGCAGATCCAGAGCCAGAGCCAGGGAAGCAGGGAATATTGCACAAAAGAGATTAAGTTCCTTTTCTTTCTTCAGGGCCCCGAAACGAGAATCAGAATCCGAATCCGAGCCAGAGTCGGAGAAACGCAAATGCGTAGATATCTCTCCTACAGAGAGATCCCTCCCGGCAAAGTGAACATTCCGATGAGGCCGTACCAGCTCCTGCTGGTAGTACAAGCAACAACCACAACAACAACAGCAGATACAAATGCAGCCATACAGCTACAGATACAGATGCAGATACGAGCGTAACCTTTCATACCTGATTATGACCGTCCTTCGCCCCCTCCTTCTTTTCGGACGAAATCAGAAAATGCAATTTACGAAACAAAAACCCGGGAAAGGAGACTGGAAAAGGTAAATTGTCTTTTTTTTCGGAGGGAAGGGGAGGGGAAACCCAAAATAACCATAGAGCGGTCCAAATCCAGAAACAATATTGATTGGCATTACGGCTTAACCTGTTCGGTCACGGGATGCAGTTAGAAATCCTCCTACCTGCCGGCCAGTACCCGAAATGTTGTGACAGTTGCGAGCCAGCCAGACAAATGTCAAGGCCGGCCGGGGACTGAAAGGCACTCCATTAATCTTCGGTCCGATCCGAGGATCCACCTAGTCCGAGGGAACTTGCAACATGCTGTCAGCGGGGTGGCAAATCACTTCATCGCATGTCCAAACTATTAGCCAAACGTCAGGCCGCGACGAGCTGATTTCAATTACTCGAAATGAAATCATATGCCCCTCCTTTGTCTCTGCGGCACAAAGGAACAATCTTAATAAGCAGACAACGAACTCTTGTGGGGCAGTCTATAGTACATGGTGTTTTTGTCCGTCATTTGCATCACATGTTGGCTGCTTTTTAAAGAGAAATTATAAAGCGTTTCCGTAGCTGCATCATTAGCAGCGCCAACACCAAAAGTCGCCTAACTATATCTTCAAGATTGGGATCGGTTCAGGGATGCCTCTGCCTCTGCCTTGGCGTTGGCGTGGCGTGGCGTGCCGCATTTTACGCAGTTGCTTAGTCCAAATTAAAGTGAATATATATATAGCATAGCGGGAGAGTGAGTGCCAGCGAAGAGATATATCTGCGCAATCTATCTATATAAAATGCATCGCCACAACGGCCGCAACTACTGCGCCAACAGGCAACTAAAAAAGTGCCAAAGCCTTATATTTTTAGACCCCTCTTCTGGGGCGACGATCGCTCCTCCGCTCTGCTCTGCTCGGCTCTGCTCTGCTCGTTTGTTAAAATTCGATGGGCGAATGACATTTTTGAGTTATTTTTGTCAGCCCGACAACGACGAAAACAGCCACGAAGACAGAGTCTCGAACCAAAACCATACGGAGGGAACCACAACCGAAATAAAACCAACTGCAGGCGACAACTTAGTTGTCGGTTTGGCGATCGGTTCGGTGGATGATCAACAAATGTCAACTGCGAGATGAAATCATTGGGGATCTTTGGGGGAAAGGGTATCACTACTAGAGATACCTTTATTCTGAACCCATTACTGCACTACAAAGTCTCAGAGCCATTTGTTAGAGGCGGGCCTCTAGACAATCCGACAAGAGTCTATCAAAATCCCGCCCGCCAAGAACCATCCGCAGAAAAGTATCTTGACGAATGTGAGATACACGATGTTCTTGCGGTCGTTGTTGCTGGCTTTATTGCCCATAGCAGGAGCCTGTCAAAAATCCAAATGGACCATAAATAAAAACATCATTTTCGTATAATGCTGTAGGAACGGGGGCGTTGCTGGTGCAGTTGTTGTTTGCCAAAAATGTCGCAATGGAGCCATAAGAGGCTCCTCTCTGGCCCGCGCTCTGGCATCATCATGGTCGTCATCATTATAATTATTATTGTGATTCGGATTGTGCGGCTTCTGTTTCAAACGCACTCCTCAGTGATTCACAAAAATAGCCGAACGGCGGGCAGGGGCGAGCAGGATGTGCAACATCGCAGCTACTTGCAACATTATAATTTGTATGTTAAAACATCGTAAATTATTTAAATGTCAGTGTGGTTTTAGTGGCCCTGCGCGGTTTTATGAACTCCAAAAAGGGGGCGTCGGGCGTGGCCGAGGAAGTGACAAGTGTGGGCAGTGCCAGGCCGGATTCTGGATTCTGCTGAGCGAGGCCTGGAGTCTGAGGTCTGGAGACTGGAGTCACATCGCATATTTGTGACATATGGCGGCAAGACGTGGATGTGGCTGTCGTCAGCGGGGACTGTAATTAAGTGCAGACTGCCCCGCTCATTGAGGATTGGGAAGCCAGCTCGAAGGACCATAAGAGGGAGCGGATAAGAGAAGAGGAATCGATCCTCAACGATCCTTGGGTAATGTAATCCGATCATTTAGCGGCTTGCTTCGTTAAGTTCGTGTGCCGCGATTTTGTTTTTATTTATTTAGTGGCCACATGTGGGCCATGTGTTCTTCCCATTATACCAAGAGGAGAGATTCTCTTTCCCAGCCCGACCCAGCGAGCTCCTCTGGAGGAGAATCGTCTCCAATTACCGATGGAAGCGGGGCCGGAGCCATTATTCCTCTTACCTGTTTACTGAACATTGCAATATCCTCGTTGAACGATTCGGACGAACAGACATCGCCACCTTGCACCCCGGGCTCCCTCGGCGTACATGTGGCAAGTTCGCACTTCTCGAAGATCAGCGCCAATAGCGGGAATAGCGGATGTCTGAAAATGCAAAATGCCAAATAAATATCATCAGTTGAGGTTCGGTTTCAGGACACAACATGCAAATGAGCAGCTGTCTTTCTGGAGTATCCTTTGAGGATGTCCTAGAAGGGGGAAACTGCTAACCTAACTCTTTAAACTGTACTCTAGTGTACAAAAGGAAAATCATTTTCAACTCCGATTGCTGACACAACTGTAGCCTATTTGAGGCCTCTCCCTCATCCTGGTATCCTGCAGGACATTCGCTTATTCACGAATGCAAATGAGCAGCTGTTTTTGTCCTTCATTTCACTCTATTTGTGTGTACTCCAGTCCTATCGTAATCCCCCTCCGACTGACGGATTAGTCCAACAACCCAACATGATTTGGCCCTTTTTTGTGCCCTCCAAGGCTAGTCCCCCTCCGAATTCCATTATTTATTTCACGCACAAGCTGCACCTGAACAAAATTAGGCGGAGCTGGCCCGGACGAGAAAGGAACCCATTAGAAGGCACAAAAAGTGACCGAAACAACTGGACGAGGGGGTGTGGACCTGCGCTTAACAAACTATTAATAAGAGGCCAAGTCGGAGTTTACAGTTGAGTGCGTTTCGGCCTGGGATCTGGGATCGGGGATCAGGAACAAAGACCGCCCGAATTTCAGTGCGGCACTCATTTGCGATGACCAGGCACAAACCTGGAGCAGCTGAAGAAGGTGTTAAGCAGAGGCCTCCCTCCCTCCGCCGAGGTGCCAAAAATAATAATAATCACAATAATAACAGGTGCTCAATGAAGTCATAATCATTGTGTGCTGAGCAGACACTCGAGGAGAGTCGTCAGCCAGCTGATCGATCATTCCTCAGTTCCCTTTCAAGACAAACATTAAATGTTTGCCACAAAAAAAATGCAGCAGCAAAAAGCAAACAAGCATTTCACTTCAGACAGCTGGCAGTTGCAGGACACGCAATGACAAAAACCTCAAAGGATCGGCCAGATCGGGTTAGAAAAACAGGAAAACAACCACAATTTTGGCAAATTATCACCTGAACCGCAAACTGCAGCTCGCATTCGATCTGGGGATAGAGTTTTTTGGTTTTCGGACTCGGACTCGGACTCCCTAATGCCTAAGCACGTTCATGTCCGTGTCCGTGTCCGTCACTAAACACCTGACACACCCCCTCCTGGAGTATAGAACGGACATTTTGTTAGGGTTTCGGCCAAAACCCATAATTTAGTGTTTTGTGCAAAACGGCAGATCACGCCCCTTCCTATGGAGAGGATCGTTCCTCGAGCTGCGCGTGCGTGGTGGCCTCGACTTCCTCCACTAAGGACAGGTGCCTAATGGGGGGAAGCCTTTGAGGACAAGCCCTAATTAATCAATTGATTAATGCTCCTTGGAATCTCATTGTTTATTTCTGAATTGGCACTAGTTTTGGACCAAACTAATCTATAAGCTGGTGTGCCTTTGGGTGATCTTCAAACGTTCATGGCTGATCGCCCCTAATCTCGGTCTGGAAACTAACAAGATCATCTGGGGTCATTGGAAGCTACAGTTGGGATGACCAAAGTCCCTTGGCCCAGTACCAATACTCACTCATAAATCGCATCCTTATCACGTTTGTGTACTTCGGGTATTGCGCCCATTAGGTGATTACCGACCGGCGATACATGACTAGGTGTTCCATGTCCCCCGGCCCCGGAGTGGTAGCCGTGCATGCCCACTGTGGCCGCCGCCGCGGCGGCGTGCGTCATGTGCGGAGAGTGGTGCGAGGGGAGGCCCTGCAGGCCGGGCGGTCTGTGGCCTGCGTGTGGGTCGTACATGGCCGCTGCAGCAGCTCCGGAGTCCATGCCGTAGCCGTGTAGGCCATCGTCGTACTGCAAGATGAAGAAAGTTATGGTTAGTTGGAGGATAGATATACTTAGTAAGCTTAACTAATAGGTTCCTCAGAATCAGCGTCTAAATTAGTGACTCTCAGAACCAGCAACCGTCGCACCGTCGACCTTGTGATTACTTTGCCGCTTCGACATTATGGGGATATACATGGCATTCGTCAGCCAACAACAGAAACCCATTTAGTATCTACACATTTGGCTGGCAGCGGGCTTGCTCGTCTTTTTCTCAACGCTTTTTGCATATTAATTAAGCGCCAAAGCAGCACACAATTTTGAATATTATCAGTTAATCTGTCCGAGCGAACAGTTGTGGCTGTGATTGTCGATTGTGAGCTGGCTGGATGGCTGGCTGGCTGGCTGGTTCCTATCTCCGCCCGTCCATCCATAAGTTGTTCAAAATTCGAAGCCGCGCAATTGCAAACAGGTTTCTGTGCAGCAACGCCAACGACTACTCGCAAATAATAACACCACTCTAACTCCCTGCCCCCCCTCCGACTCTGGCTAACAAAGTATCTGGGTATCTGTGAGATTTTTATCATTTGTACTCAAGTGGCGTCCGTCTCTGAGAACGCTTCTCCGCTCCAGTCCCATCTCCGTTTCACGCTGCATAATTCGGAGGGCACACCACAGAGAAGTTGACAAAAAGATTTTTGTGCAGCGACAAGGAGTGATGGCTCCCCAGTCCCCTGCCACAGCCGCCTGCCCCCTTTCCCCACCACCGCCACCAAAAAGGTATCTGGCAGTTGAGGTCGTTATCAGCCTGGAAAAATCTTTGACGCTAAATGAGCAATTGACTTGGAAGTGCGAAAGGGGGAGCAGCACTTGACTGGGACTTTGGTCGAAATGTCAAGGATTTGCACCTGGAGGGGGCAAGATGTATGGAAGCTACTGTATCTGTATCTATACGGTGAAATAGTGCAGTGCAACTCATAAAGGCAGCTGCTTTTTGAGCAGCCAGCTCTCGCAGGTGGCTCAGCTCGGCTCAGCAGAACTTCTGCTACGATTGTCAACCTTTGAGGTTGGCAATCCTTGAGATACACACCGAGATTAGTTTGGTGAGGCGGTCGTGCTGCCTCCGTCGCCGCTAGTGTGCACATGCACGAGATACAAACTGATAGATACAGAAGAGAGCCACTGACTTGGCCGGGTTAGTCAGAGCTTGGCTCAGTTTTCGGTTCAGTTCAGTTCGCCCCGGCTCGGTTCATGGCTGTTAAACTATAAAGTTGTTATGCTAATTTTAGTGTTGCCGTTTTTTCTTTGTATCTGTATCTGTTTTGTTTCGATTTGTGCTCTCAGCTCGCTTGGAAATAAGGAAATTGTGGACCGGAGCGGACCGGAGCACTGCCAACAAAGAGATCTTGAAAATTACCACAATTTGTACTCGTACATAAGTAATGTGGGAATCGTAGCCCCCAAAGACGAAGACTCGCCACCAGACAATGAGGACCAAAACCGAACTGGGACTTTGGATTTTTGGTTATTGGGCTCTTTGGCTTTGTTTTTCGGATAACTCCCCTACCATTTAGGCCAACTTTGATTGATGATCTCCAGCCAGCTCTCTCTCCGCTTTTCCCCGTGCCTGTTGTTTGCCGGCCGAGCCATTGACCTTGTTGAACGGAAAAGCTCCCTCTGCTTGGCTCCACGAGCGGAGGCAGGGGCGTGGCGGATCAATAACCAACCACCGAGCCGGCGAGCAAACAGCCGAGGAGGCCCGTGGTCTGATTTTGACAAGTTCAGCGTCGAAAATCCTTCAAAAATTTATGGCGCCCCCCGTGGAAGTCGGCGGCAGTTGTGGGTGGTGGTGGTCCTCAAAACTGTCAGTGACAGGCGCTGAAGGAGTTGGTATTTGTACATTTTTCCAGCTTTTTTTTTTGGGGAGCAACGCGCTTTCCTGCCCATGTCCTAGTTGTGGGCCACTGTTTCTGTCGTGCTTGGGCGACATTAAGTCATTGCTGGAGCCAGCCTACCGCCAACTATCCAGCTATCCGGCAACAACTCAATTGTACATTCAGGCAAGGCTTTAAGTAGGCCTCTACATAGAGAGACTTTAACTCCAAGGACCTGTTTAGGGCTCTGCTCTTCCAAACTCGAAAAATCTGCGTGAACTTGAAACCCAAAATCCTGGCCAAACAAAAACAGGCTCCGAGCAAGGACATTTATGGATCGGGTGGGAGTGGAAGTGGGCGTAGGATTTCTAAAAACCGACCGAAAGCCTGGACGAAAGGCCGGCAGCAGAAGAGTTATGACTGCAACTGCAGCCAGACCGAGCCATGCAGAGCCCGTGTGTGCGACGGGGGCTGGTGTTTTGGCCAAAATGGTGACAATGGCCGCCATTATACAGCGTCATGGCCCGCCACCCCCGCCATGGCCCACATAAATGCCCCAATATGTTGGTTGTAGAGCCGACTTGTGTATCGATTTCTTGCGTTCCTGCCCGCAACACTTTTGCTTTTCGACCCCGCCACTATTGTATTTTTGTATTTTGAGTTTCATTCCCAAAACGACAGAAACAGAAACAGAAACGAAGCTCTTAATTGCGCTGGCGCGGTCGAAGGCCTAATCAAAATTAATTGTTTATCATGTTGTATTTGAATTTCTTTCCATTTCTTCGCATTTTCTCCGCCTTTTGGCTCTGGCTTAATTAGCAGACGAGCCGCAGCCGCCGCAGTAAGAGTCGATGTTGTAGGTGTGTCCCTCTGGCACGCCCCCTACCCCTGGCCAAGTCACGCCCAGCCCATCGCTGCCCCCCAAACTTTATTTGGTGTTAGACAATTAATTTCTGTTGCGTGCCTCGGTGTTGTTTTAATTTACAGTTGCACCACTGCCGGCCAACTCCAACACGCTCCTCCACCAGCTATTCACAAGCGATATTATTATTAACTTTTATGGCTTATAATAACAATATTATCGAGCAGGCGGACATCAAACGGCGAGCGTTTGACAACGGCCGAGATCTGCTCGTTTTTTCCATTTAATTTATTTTTCAAAAAAACAAATACTAGCCTGGTCGAGGAATATATGCAAAGTTTGGGGCTAAAAAAAATTAGATTCTCGGTAGCGGCCAAGTGAAAAAATATAAATGAATTCTTTGGCGTTTTAACATTTATCAAAAATCAACAACAAATGACGTCAGTGCGGCATTTATTAAATTAAAATGAGCCCCAAAGACCGACCGCCTGGCAGCCAAAAAAACAGCGAGATGATTAACAAAAAACCAACATCGATGTCCAAAAAGGTAAATTCGAATACCAGCAGAGTCAGAAATAAATCGAAGGGGAATTTAAAAATATTTCTGAAACCCGTGAATAGAAAATGAATCTTTAAATATATATATTTATGACTTGGAACTATCGCCCAAATGGCAGCCTTGTCAGGCATTTAATTAAATATCCCTGTCGAGAGGACTTGCCAAGAGACTTTCCCAACAAAGTTCCCAAAAGTTTTTGGAGTGCCGGCTTTGGAGCTACCATAGTACCTCCGCGGAGGGGCCAAAAGTTACTCAAAAATACGAAAATAAATTGCGTGCTGATGGCTCATTTAATTTAATGAGCGGCGTGCAACTTGTCTAAATGATTTTTCCTCTACTTTACAACACATTTTTTCTTCGCATTTTTGTTTTTGTTTGGCTTGGGGTCTGCCCTCCATGGAGGCACTTTTTCATAGATGTACGAAAAAGTCTATCTCTCGGAAAGACATTCGACTCTGCTCGATGGAGATTAGCGCAGCACTTTGATTTAATGTCGGGAAATTACGCCAAAGAGAAAAGGGGGGCGCGAATTATTTAAAAAAGTTTATAAGAAGATTTAGGCGCGAATGTAAAAAGAAATGAAACTAATGAAAGCACTTCCAACACCAGAGGCAGCACCACAGCCACTAGCGACCTCGTCAAACTTGGCAACTATGTGTTGTGTGTTTGGCAAAAAAAATAAAATAAAATACTACAGCTACAGCTATAGCTATATAGCACCAGCAGGCACCGACCCAAGAATCAGGCACGCAATTCGATCATTAAACATGAAGCTCTTTAGCACACGAAAAACAACATCGGGAGATGGGAGCTGGGCACTGGGAGCTGGTAGCTGGGGAGCTGGGAGCTCATGTGGATAGGCCCCATATAGAGCCTTTCGGGCCAGGCCCTCTCGCCCCCCTTTGCAGAAATATGCATATGTAATTTGTTTATAAATATTCCTCCACTCTGCTCCACCTCCACCCGACTTCCACCCGGCCATGAGAAGCGTCTGGCGGAGGGATTCTCAACCAGGCCCGGAACGCATCTGACCAGATAAGCGGAGCCCAGTGACTCACACGGGAAGCTGGGAAGGCCACTTAATTAGAAGGGAATTTTGGAATGATAAGGCCAAAAAACCCACTATAGACTATTCATGGAATCACTGATTTTTATTAGACGATCTGTGACCAATAAACGGGCCATTATTTTATCGCTCCATAAACCGATTTCTATCTGACTGTAATCCTTCAGTGGATTGGCCAATATTTTTAATGGTTTCTTTCATAAACAAGTTTTCCATCAAAGTTGAAATGTTTTCAGTAAACCGCAGAATCTGTATCTGCTCCACTCTCCTTGATCTTTTCTATTTCGATTTTATTTCTCAAACCGAATACCGAACGAACATTCGAATAAACTGAAATATCCGAGGCGGATAGGCGGATAGCGGACAGAGCACTCGCCGCGATAGACGAATTATATTTTATGCCACAAATTACGCTGCGGTTAACCTTTAAATTAAAATAACACCAAAACAATTTTTGTGCTGCATTTCGCAGGCGTTTGAAATGGCACACGAAGGAAAAAAAATAGAGGCCGGCTGGCTGCACCGCTGGGAGGGGCAGCAGCTCTGTGGCTGTGGCACTGTGGCAGCTGCACTGCACATTTTTATACAAATTGCAATTGCAATTGCACATTTTTTCTCGCTCTCTTACTGCGAGGCACAAAATAATCAAATTAAATATACATATATATACATATATATAATCGGGCAGGATCGGGCTGGTGGAGGAGAAGGCTTCCCGCCATTTTTCGCTGCGGCGCACAAAAGTGCAAATTATAGCCGAGTCATGGAAATGGCAAAAATAAAATTGTAAATAATAAACCGCGAAGAATCCAGCCCTCTCCCTGCCCCAGCCCCTTTGTCCTCTGGCCTCTGGCGATGTGCAATAAAATTATATGCATCAAATGCACACAAACGCAGGAGGACGCCAGCCAGACAGACAGACAGCCCGTATATATCGCATATATCTCAAAAAGCCATTTGATGGAATTGAAATGGCGCGGACTTGGATTCGGGATCGGAAAAGCCCCGCAGGAGAATGGCGGCCAGCGAATGGGGTGCCACAATAGCTCGGGATTCGGTGCTGAATCGCGTATTAAACCACAAGCGACAATTTATTCGACAGCACCACAGTGGTTCCCGCGGGCATTTCAGTGTTTTTCGTTTCCAACATTTCAGTTCGGAGCGCGGCCTACCTGCACCACCACCTCACATGCTAATTAACAGACCAACTACCAGGTCTTGAGAGCCCGATCCGACGGACAAAATCAAGTTCACTTCGCATGTCCATGATAATCAATTGATAAAGTCTAACTGCGATTTGGTAATACCCTGCCGAGGGCGGAGACTGCTGGTCACCTGATTAGCATATAATTTATGGTCCAGGTGCTCCGATCGGGCCATGGCTCTGATTCCCGATCTAATCTGGCACTTTTGAACTTTGGCACTAGTTTCTATGACTTGCTGGATCGATCGTGGTTCCACTAATTACATAAACTTGTTCGGGAAAATGGCCCGCATAAATCAGAACCGATTCGACCGATATAAGAGCCCTATTCCCCACCGGAATTAATTAGAGCGGCCTAGTATGGAGGCCGACGGCTTTTGACTTTTTCCCGGAGACGGTCTTTCTGCCGACGGTACTCTGGTTCTGAGGAAACTATCTCAAGGATAACTATCTTATGGATATACACTTACCCTGGGCTGAGCCATTAATGCTCTGGGAGCGACGTCTAACCCGATTTGTGCCACTTTTGGAGCAGGAACAACAGATGGGGGCGCAACACACAAATCGACGTCCCGCTCCGCCGCTTCTTCTTCTGCTCTTCTGCGTTCTGTCTTAGGGAGTCAGCACTGTACTCGATGTGGAGTCCCGAAATCGGTTCTCAGTTCTAGATTGGATTTTTGTTTTTCTTTTTTTTTTGCACTTTTGGATTTTTGAAGCTTGTGAGATTTGTATGCTTTGCTTCTTCTTGATTCTTTCTTAACACAGGCACATTTGTTAAAAATATTAATATTATTACGTTTGTATACTTGTTGTAGTTGTAGTTGTCACGCGCGCGATTATCGATATTTTTTTTTTTTGCTTAGCGGGAGATCGTTTAGTTCTTGAATGTTTTTGCTTTTGTTTTTATTACAATTATTATTTACATATAACTTGTTTGGTTACAAAATCGTATACAATGTGTAGGTTGCTGTTGCTGGGTGTCCTTGGTATACTGGTGTATGGTTGTTGCAACATTACAGGCCCTCTCCAGTGGTTTGTTGTCATAAATCCATGGCGTAACCTGTGACTTGACTTCGGTTCTCCTCTCCTCGATGTTACTAGTAGTTAGTTAGTTTGATGTTAGGGTAGTTGCTTTGTCGTATACTCTTTTGCTTCTTCGTATAATATGCGCACTATTTATCACAGCTGCTTCTACATACTACGTTACTAGAGATGAACAAATGAAATTTTGTTGAAAGTGTGGCTTGTTTGTCTGGGGGACTGTGTGTTTGCGACGGCAAGTGGCAAGTGGTGTGGTATACGAGGGGGATCGACGGGATCCCCTCGGCAAGAAAATCCCCTTCCTCTGCAGAACCTATCGGCTTTCATGCACACTACGATCGATCGACTACGATTCACAGACAAAATATTTATAGTTTGTTTTTTTTTGCGGGATTCAGGATTTCAGGATTGCTGCGGATTGCGTAGCACCAACGAAACGCGATGGAAAACGCGCGCGATTCCAATTTATTGCTGCTCCGGCTCCGGCCAGGTGTGCCAGGTAATAATAACAAACTTCGCCGACGGCACGGCTTCACGCTTCTCACGACAACGGCAACGTCAACGACAACGACAACGCAACGCCAACGCAGACACACGCAACACGGAGGAACACGTCGAGCGGCGTTCGAAGATAAATTGAAAATGGACGCCTGAAATACGGATGGCAAAGATACTTTACCTAAAAGATACGAACTATACGTTCGCTGGCTACGAGCGCTTCGGGCCGCCGCTCCGCTCTCTGCCGTTCCATCTTCCGTCCCTGTCCTGCTGCGGTTCGTGCCTGCCGAACCGATTCGGAGAGCGCGCCCAGAGAGAGAGAGTGAAGCTTCGTTCTTCTTCTTCCGCAAGCGAAGTGCTCAACACGATCCACCATCCACGTTCCATCTTGCATCCCGTTCTACCGGTTCGCACCGATTCAGAGCGAGAGAGGCCATGGCGTTGCCATTGAGGCGAATTCGGGCAATATAATTTATTTTGTATGGGGAATCGTCTCTCCAACGGAGTGAGATTTGATCTCACTCCAAATTTTCGCCTAGCTTGTCAATCATTTCAATTCGCTGACAGCATCGCCGCTCTCGCTCGCACACTCACATGCAACAATTGTGCCATTAAGGCGGGCCAGGCCATAACTCAGGCGGAGCAACAGGGATGGATATAGGCCTCCTCTACCAAAATAGTTCGGAGCTCGACCGGCGCATGTGTCAGAGAGCGGAGTATCTCAGAAATACTTCTCGTTTGAAATTTATTTGGCTTTGGCCAAAAGGAGACGGCTTATAGGTTTTTCGCGGCCGGCCTCGGCGTCGGGCCGGCGTCTCTGCCCGATGCGTGGCGTTGAAAATCAGCAAAAACCAATCCCATTTGTTATTTTCGCTTGAGTGAGTGGCAGTTGGCATTCGGGGCTGTGGGCCGGTGGGCGGTGGGCGGTGGGCGACAGTGGGGCTGGCTAGGAGCTGGGGCGGGGGGAGAGAAAGGCTCTTGAGCGCTTTTCAGGTGTCCATCAGCTTTCGCTCAGCACACACTCGCGCTCTCTCGCTCGCTCCTGGGGGCCGCCTAGGCAACGCCTTCAAGGAGGCGCTGAAATGGGGGACTTTTGAAATGCAGCGCAGGCTTTGTCCCTTTTTTGTGGCGATCTGGCCACTTGGCGGCATAAAGGACATGATCCTGCCGTATAAAAAAAAGAGAGCCAACAGTTGCAAGATCGAACATGTCTGGCGTCAAGTTACGATATTCGATATTTTCCGCGGGTCCTTTGGCTTTTCAGGTCGAATGGCGGCCAAACCGCCTTTTTGTTGTTGTTGCTGTCGTGTCGTCGTCCTCGTGGCAGTTTAAAAAGCAGTTAACACATATTCCCAGGCAATTTTTCACCAGTTGGTATTTTTGGCGCTTGGCGCTGCAGTTGCCATTACAGAGGGGCGGGGGCGGGCGCGAGAGACAGAGAGAGGACGAGAGCTGGCCGCCGTTTTTAGGAAAATGAAAAATAGCCTTGTTTGTTTTCCGACGCGCTCGCCAAAAAGGAAAAGGATATCCCTTCTGTCTGTTTTCCTGGTCAGAAAGATGATGTTGCACTTAATCTGGCTGCCATTTCATCTGAAGGATTCTTAGGGCGGTGGGGGCGTGGCTTTTCGGGGGAGTCTGTGTCTTGTCAACACTTTGACAAATTTATGAGACTTTGATTGATTTGCGGTCTTGTTTTGGCTTTTTTTCGAGGCTTTCGCAAATTTGCGAATTTGTGGGGCTTCTTTGGGTAATTTATGGGAATCGAAAATCAAATAAAATCGAAACAATTAAGTGCTATAAATTAGCCTCAAAGTGGGGCTAGATGTGGGAACCAATTTGGGGGGCAGAGGTCAAGGAAGAAGAAAACTTTGAAGAAGAGTCTTAAAGGATTTTAAGAATTTCAGGACGGGTCCAAGAATTTAATTTATTATTAAGAACTTTTGAAATGAAATTTAAATTAGTAAAAAAAGAAACAAATCAAGAAAGGGGGTGGGGTGGGGAGTGTGGGCTGGGGCCTCCTCCTCCAAAAATAAAAAAAAAGGAAAACTCGGGAAAACCTCAAGGAAAATTGCATTTGGAAACTTCCAATTGGAGACGAGAGTCTGGGTGGTCGGGCAAGGGGGGGTTGCGAGAAAGCTCACAAGCACACTGACACCTTTGGGGCAGCCAATATGATTTAACGCTCCCCCTCACACACACACTGACACATTTGGGGCAGCGCCGTCGACGTCACCAGAGACGCGAGTGTGTGTGTGCGAGTGTCGTGTGCATGACAATTCATCTCTTTCTTATAAACGCAATTTATCAAATGGGGGGACAGCAAAAGATGAAGAAGACGACGACACGATATCAACTTGATGTGGCGCCATTTCACTCACTCCTCTCTCGCTCTCGCTTGCGCTCACTCACTCACTCAAAACGTTGGAGCAAAAAAATGGCACATGAAGGAGTTGCTTCTTCTTCTTCAACATCGTCTTCTTTGCCTGGCCCCCATGCTCCATGGGGCCAGAACCAAAACGAAAACAGAAACAAAAACATAAAAGCAAAGTGAAACCGCCATAATCTTGACAGACAAGTGCAGGCTGCGCTCTCTCTCTCGTTGTCCGGCTCTCTGCGCTCTTCGCCGCACTTTTAATGGTTTGTTTTTGTCCGAATTCGCCGCGTGTGGTAGAGCGGGATGGCCTGCTGCCACTCATTCAAGAGAGTGTGTTTTATGGCAACAGCTGTTTTGCCGTTTTGAATTAACCATAAATTTCAAAAACACTGTATTTACATTTTAATATTTTGAATTTTGTTATTAACCGATTTTAGTGTAATTTATAGCCGGAGTAGAGTTGTAGTTTGTATCTGAAATATTTTCGAACCGAGAACCCAACTCCTTACCTGCATAGTTACCTGTTCGCAGCCGATTGCTTCCTTGAATCTCCTCCGGGCTTACCATTATATCTCTGTGACTTTCAACGCTCTAAGGAGGCCCATAAAAGGCTTAGGACACTTGCCCGACCATCTACCTGTGACCTGATCCGTGGACTCACACCCCCGGAGTGACCCGGGTCCTTCGATTTTTCCTCGTCATCGCTCAGAGCTCCTTAACTGACCCAGAGGAAAAATCTATGAACAAATGTGCCGGGTCATCCAGGACGATGTCCTTTGGGCTGTGCTGGGCCTGCATGTGACAGCCGACGGCCGGCCTGTCAACAAATCTGCGGCCCACACTTTCCGCCTCCCACCTAGGCGCCCGCTAATCTCAAGGACGCAGAAGGAGGACCTCCTCCCCACTGCATCCAGGACTCTATTGTTTGAAAACCCTGTCGCCAAGTTAATTTCTGTTTTGATTTCCAACGCACTTACCTGCTCGATGTTGCAATCATACTTTACCTGAAAAGAAAGGAAGGAAAGTCAGAGTTAGTCTCGATCTGGAAGGCCTGAAATGCCAGGAAATGCAAATGAGCGGAAGGCGTCGGGGATTAAGAGGCACTCGCAGTCGGAGGTGGTGTCCGCTTGTGACCACATGTGTTCCACACCAGCACCCCACAGCAGAAATCCCATCGAGCTCCCAAGTGACTCATCCCTCCGGACTCTAGATTCTGGATACTGGATTCTGGATCTGATCTTTTCTGGCACATTTGTTGGAAAATGTTTTCCTAGCCAGTTCCTAGCGGGGTTTGATTGATTGCCTTGGAAAACCACTTGAAACTGTCAAGGGTGCGTCGAGAAGAGGGCTGTCGGGGCAGTAAGGGGAACGGGAATGAAGTGAAAATCACTTTTACGCAGATGGAGGAAATCGTTTTCCAATGAAAACTACTTAGGCCCGAGAGGCGGAGAAGGCGCATCGCGTTAATAACTAAATTAAGGAGCGAGGTACTTCATCTGGAGTTTCAAGTGACTTTGAGGGAAGAACAACACTAACGACTACTATCTGTAACTATTTCGATTCTGGATATTATTTGTCATAAAAATCCACAATATCTTTCGGAATATGTCTCTGAAAATATGGTCGAAAGGAAACTTATTCGAGGAGCCAGCTAGATTCCGGCAGGAAAATCAAGAACAACAACGCACAGAATAAATAAATTTCTGTGCATTTCCGCTATTTTCGGGTTTCTTTTTGTTGTTTTCTCCGCTGGACTTCCTTCCGCCAGAGCCAAACAACAAATATTATTATCGCAGTGGCCCAGGAAGGGCGGTTGGGCAGGGTTGGGCGGTGGGGGAGTGGTCAGAGTTCAGTGGGGCGTGGCTGCAGTCGGCAAGTGCCAAAAAGTCCAACTTGCCAAGAGTATAAATTATTCAATGCTTTTGACAAAAATTTAAAGAGCAGTTCCAGCTAGTTTTCCGAAATAGAATTTCCACGAAGGGCACTGTTTTCTTTCCTCAATTTTTGGTCAGGTAGTGGGTGGGTGTGGGTGGAACGGAAGCTGTTAAAACAACAACAGGAGAGCACACAGAAACAGCCTCTTCCCAATGAAATTATTAATGGTCAGCACTCCAGAGGAGAAGCCATCCTGGCCGACCAGAAAATAAATAAATAAACAAGAAACTCTAATTAAACGCTGCTCCGCTCCCTCCTTCGATAAGCCAACGAAACCAATTACTCCTCCGGGCTGGCCCCTCCCTACGTTGTCTGATCCTTTAGGCCACAGTTTGCGGACTTTCGGGCCAGAGTCCCCGAGCTCCAGGCCCTGGGGCTTGTTAAAACTTTTTGGCCAAAAATGCAATCTGTTCCAGCCGCTGCAGAAGCTGCACAATTGCTGTTTGGGGCTCAAGGTCAGATAAAATCAGAGGGAATTTTCGGTCAAGTCTCTTGGAAGAATCTTCCGAATTAAGTCACCTGCTTGCACTAAAATAAGACCAATCTTTGAAGCAAAACTAAGCCACTTCCTCACAAATAACAAAGGTGACCTCATGGTGACCTTTCTGATAAGCGTTTTCGGTTTACATTCCGCGGGTGGCTCGATTGGAGAACAGCGGGCTCTTAAATCTCGCCAAAGCGCCATAAAATACAAAACAGCAAGGAAATGCTGCCAAACCGGCTGACTAAGCTGGCCAAAATAATATATAACAGCGATTTGCATAAAAACAGAAAAAAAAACGACAACACCGAAAAACCGCAGAGATTAAAGCCGAACGAAACAAATTTTAAATTGATTTTAAAAATAAAA